GGAGGCAAGGTGGCATTAGGGGTGTGTACAGTGGCCTAGTGGCCACTACAATACGTGATTCCACTGGTTTTGCTGCTTACTTTTATTCTTATTACATGATACGGGCATTGTATACTGACAGTCGAAATATAAGTCGAAGTAAAATTGACGACTTACCATTAGGAATCCTCAGCCTTGCCGGGGGGACAGCTGGCTGCATATCTTGGGCAGTAAATTATCCAGTTGATATTTTCAAGACACTTCTGCAAGAAGACACTATAAAAGAAATGCTAGCTAAGGAAAAAGGAGAGCTGTATCGTAAGGAATATACCGGAATATATGATTGTGCCAAAAAAGTTTTGGCTCAAAATGGATTCATGAGAGGTTATTATCGTGGGATAGGCCCTTGCCTTGTCAGAGCTTTCTTTAACAGCTTTGCACTCTTGCCAACATATACAAAGGTTTATAACAATTGGCCTTGGAACAATTAACTGCTGATTTAAACTATATTTTTATAATATAATCTATCTTGTAGTTATTTAGCTTATAATATTATTAGTGTTTGCCACTCATCTAATAATGTTGTTTTATTACATATAGCTGATCTTGTAGTTATTTAGCTTATTATTATTAGTGTTTGCCATTCATATAATAATGTTGTTTTATTACATATTGCTGACTATGCTGATCTTAATTGCTAATTGTGAATGAATAACACTATGTACGTATGTGGACATATCCCAAATAATTGCTAAACATCACATAATACAATTCCACTACTAGACTATCAATTCATCAGTAATTTTGGAGCCCCACCACTTGCATATTAACATAGTGATGCATGACTCTCATTGTGAAGCAAGTAATGCATCAGCCTGCACTTTACCCAATGATTACAAAAGCAAGAGTATATAAGGGCTTAGCAAAAAAGCATTAAACATATCCTACAGGACTACAAAAACACTAATAGTGTATACATTGTAATTCAAGTCAACACATGCAGCTGTGCATATAGGAATATTTCAGTAATATCTATCTTAGCTATACTTATAATGTCAATGATAGTGTAGGCAGTTAGATTATGCCAAACTATTATTCTTAGCCAATTAGTAATTATCTTTATGATTAACCAAATTTTAGAGAGAGAGAGAAAAGTGAAGATGAGAAAAGATGAGAAGAATAACAAGTGAGTCAAAGGTGAAGTAGTTATCGCATTCGTAGTTACAGAAATAAATAAATGAATATTAATGAATGTGAGAGTGACTACAATAGTTAAAAATGACTTATTGGCAGGAGTAATATTTGGCAAATTTGTTTACAATAAGCAGTTGGCTTGTAATTTTGTTGCCATTTATTATTGAGCATGTTCAAAATGGTAGAGTTAACAAACTGCCAATATTTAATTAATTGTCAACATTCACCAATAAATCATCAAACTATCGTGAATTTTCACAAAAATAATAAGCTAAAAACATTAATTTTCCTGATAGTCACTAATGTAAGGTCTAGAGTACCATTCAGGTGTCAAATCAGTTTTATTATAAAAATACACTTCACAGTCCACAGTGCTACCTTTTGACAGCCCAGGGAACTTGTCTGAAGGAGTACCAGTCAGTATGCACTGTGTTGGTGTTCGTAGGTACCAAATTGGATGTTCCTCCAGTTTATCTAAAACAGCACACATTGAAGAATCAACTTCGTACAACTCTCCCACAACAATCTATAATTTAGAAACAAAGATATTATATATATATATATATATATATATATATATATATTAGAAAGAAGAAACACTTATATATACATAAATTCTCAAAACAATCTATAACACAAAATGTTCCCATATATTTTATCATGCCAAGCATTATGCTTACATTGTCTGGTCTGTTTGGAGGCATTTTTGGTAACAAAAAAGGTACAACTTGATTATTTATGCCAATTTCTTCAGCCATTTTGTCCCCAATCATTTCTGCTATCAGTGGATAAGGATGTGACAATCTTGCTTCACTGATAAACATGGCCTCTCCATTATTCTTGTCCTTCATAAGATAGTGATTACGCAGGCCCTTCTTTAAAGTCCCATAGACGAAAATTCTATGCTTTTTTGAAGACACCTCTGCAGTGGAAGCATAGATAATAGAGTAAATGAAAGGGATTGGAAACGGGGGCGTAGGCTGGTTGATGTTGCTATTGGTTACCGGCCCAATACCTGGTTGATTTCCCATCTCCTCCATTAGTGGAGGCTGTACTGCAAGGATTTCGAAGGATATTTATGGAGATCTAAGAGGACGCTTACTTATGATATACCTACCGTTCCATATAGAAAGTGTTGGACTACCTGCAGCAAGGTTTTTACTTCTACAACGCTATTTTGCAACGAGTTATAGGTACAACAAAATTTTTTCACTTTTCGCCCTTTTCTGTTGTAACAAACTCATGCTTCATGGATTCTAACCCTAACTAGTATCATTCGATATGCGAATGGAAACTCTTTCATATGATTATAAAGATATTGCATTTTATTCTAGCTTGTTTTCAAAAAAGGGATTATAATGACAAAAAATACATTTTACGGTTTTTAAAGTGCCATAACATTAACATGGTAAGATTATCCGTACAATAGAAAACAGAATTATAAAGAGGAAACATTAGGCTTCTTGATGCATTGATTTCACTTGCATAGGAACACTTGTTTGCGAGATATTGCTCCTAAAAGAAAGAAAATCAAGGGTAAATTGTGACAAAAAATTTCAACGAGCCTCTGTCAGCCTAGCAGCAATACAAATGAATGGAGGTTGGGCTACGCCCACGCTTCCGTTTCCAATCCCTTTCATTTACTCTATTAGAGTAAACTATCGATTATCGGACCCCACCTATTTTCGGACGGCTCCTGCTAGCTCTGCAAAAGAGCAATCGCAATTCCTTATGTACTAAACTAAGCATTACTTTTAGCTTTGTAATAGGTTTCTTGAAAAAGAAAGCAATGTGACTCTTGCATGAAATTATACTAAAAATAATGTGCCCGTCCGATATTACGGAATGTCGGACAAAATCACATAATTCCGTACAGTGCATTTTTTACTACAATAAGTAAACCCAACTGTTACTTATCACCACCTGTATAAACTTTGATCATTGTAGTATAACTATATGCAGTATCAAAAGAAATGGATAAGATTTAGTAGATAAGATTAAGAGTCTCTGTATAATGAAATAAAAGAACACCTTGAGACCTGCTGCGTCGGACATGGGTGGGGCTATAACAATTAATTAATTAATTATCGTAGATCCTCGTGCTGTTTGTTTGCTGACTACTGACAAGTCGCTCTGTGTAAACAAGTGTCTTTACGACTTTAAGCTGCTGTATTTCGAGAGATCAGGTAAGTTTGTGTGTAGCATTTAAGTTGTACTCAGTTTACTGCTGCATTAGTCAGTTGTATAGCTTGTTACTAGTTACTTGGTAGCTAGGGTGTGGGCGTGTGGCCTTTAATGTGTGTTTGAAATCCTAATTTGCATGATGCATGTATGAACAACCAATTAAAATGATACTATAATATCTTTCTTTTAGAATTATGGCTGTATCAGACCGTACCTTTCGTTCCTCACGGGCCACATCTACATCAGTACGACGATCCAAGTCTGACTCTCCCAAGAGACCACAGGTTTACAAAGAAGCGTATACAGCAGATAAACTTCGGCTAGCATACGAAGAAGTCAATGATGGGCGCTTATCAGTCAGACGTGCTGCTGAGATGTATAATGTGCCAAAGTCTACATTATGTGATCGAGTAACAGGCCGAGTAAAATTTGATACACTCAGTGGGCCTTCTCGGTATCTTAACGATAAGGAAGAGGAGGAATTGGTTAAATTTATTTGTCAATGTGCAAAGACTGGTTATGCTAAGACCAAGAAGGAAATATTAGCCATTGTTGAGGAAATATTAAGATCAAAAGGTAACCCTACTCATGTGTCTAATGGTTGGTGGGAAAGCTTTAGGAGTAGACACCCAGTATTGACCTTACGAACAGTGGAGAAGCTTTCATATGCAGGCTCAGTGGCATCTGATCCTAGAATAATTGACCACTACTTCGACCTATTAGAGAAGACCCTACGAGACAATGAATTACTTGATTCTCCTGCACAAATCTTCAATTGTGATGAGAGTGGTCTGCCTCTCGAGCATACCCCGTCGTCTGTTGTAGGAATAAAAGGGCAAAAGCATCCACGTACCCTTACATCTGGCAATAAGAAGCAAATGACGGTCCTGGCATGTGTCAATGCAGCAGGGTACGCAATACCTCCGCTTGTTATCTTTGCCAGAAAATCTCTTAACCCACTACTCACGATCAATGAAGTGCCTGGTACAATGTATGGATTGTCGGATACAGGCTGGATGAATTCAGAGATTTTCCTAAACTGGTTTACCCACCATTTTTTGGTACACGCTCCTGCTTCTAGGCCACTGCTATTATTACTTGACGGCCATTCTACCCATTATAACCCTGATTTTGTACGAGTTGCTGCCCATGAGAAAGTCATAATTTTTTGTCTTCCACCGAATACGACTCATTTGATGCAGCCATTGGATAAAGGTGTCTTTGGACCCCTAAAAAGTCACTGGAATGAGGAATGTCAAAAATTCATGAGTAAGAACCCAGGAAAGGTGGTGACACAGTATGATTTTATGGGTATCTTTAGCAAAGTATGGTACAAAGCAATGATCATTCCTAATATATTATCATCCTTTCGTACTACTGGGATATATCCACTAAATCGTAGTGCTATACATGTTGAGGATCAAGCAACACCACTTGATCCTGAAGTGGAGTCCCTTGCTGAGAAAACTGGGTTAGCGTTTATACCCTTTTATACACCTAATCGCTTGCACAAGTCTAAGTCTTTGACTAATGATGATAATCAACCTGATCAAGAGGATGGCCCACCAGATCCTGATAATTCTTTGAGTGATCCCTCATCTTTGAATGATTTTACTGAGGAAGAGCATACAAGGTACATGAGGCGGCTAGAGGAAGGGTATGACATTAAATCAGACCTGCGTTATAATTTATGGTTGAAGATGAGATGTGAAGAAGTGAGAGTTCAAGCAGATATACCAGATAATCTTTTATTGGGAGAGACCTTGAAATCGCAATCAGTCGTTAACAAGTTCTTACCAAAGCTACCTGAGTTGAGAAGTGAGACTCTTTACAAAAAGAAGTCTGCAAAAGTTTTGACGAGTGTAGAAAATCAAAAATCAATTGATGAAAGGGAGAGAATGAAGCAAGAAAAGCTGGAGGAAAAGGAAAAGAAGAAGGAAGAAAGACAGCTAAAACAGATGAGGAGACAAGAAGAGATTCAAAAGAAGAAAGAGGAAAGGGAGAAGCAGATCAAAGAAAAAGCTGAGCAGAAGAAAGTGATTGAGAAGAAGGAAAGTAGTGCAAAAAAAAAGAAGCAAGGTACACATGAATGAAATAATTTATGCTTTAATAATGCATTTTTATAATCTAGATTCTATATGTGAAGCTAAGATGTGCTCACACAAATCAGCTCGGAAATGGGTTCAGTGCTCACAATGTTCACTATGGTTTCATTGTATGTGCCAGCAAGTTACAAGCAAAGTTGTAGAGCAACCAAGTTACATTTTTGTATGCAGTGATTGTGAAAATTAATGTTGGTCATCTTTTGCCTTTTGTTAATTCATTTACAATTATAGTTTGTTAACTTTAAAAATAAAATGATAACAATACCAATAATCATAGCCACAACAACAACATCAATAATAATAATGATGATAATAATAATAATTATTATTATTAAATAATAACGACAATAAATTTCATTAATTTGGGGCGTGTCCGACGCAGCAGGTCTCAAGGTGTTCTTTTATTTCATTATACAGAGACTCTTAATCTTATCCATTTCTTTTGATACTGCATATAGTTATACTACAATGATCAAAGTTTATACAGGTGGTGATAAGTAACAGTTGGGTTTACTTATTGTAGTAAAAAATGCACTGTACGGAATTATGTGATTTTGTCCGACATTCCGTAATATCGGACGGGCACATTATTTTTAGTATAATTTCATGCAAGAGTCACATTGCTTTCTTTTTCAAGAAACCTATTACAAAGCTAAAAGTAATGCTTAGTTTAGTACATAAGGAATTGCGATTGCTCTTTTGCAGAGCTAGCAGGAGCCGTCCGAAAATAGGTGGGGTCCGATAATTGATCGTTTACTCTATCTATGGTGGAAGCCGTCTTTATTTTAGCTCCACCTTTAAAGGCGTGTCTTAATTGGGCGTGACAATATGGCGTCTTCTTCAAAAGCAGAAGTGGAAGAGGCTCGGGAAATAGACGAGCCACACGTTGAAGTAACTTGGAAAGGAGAGAATGAGAGTGACTCTGAATATGTACTTAGTATAGACAACTTCCCATTAGAGTAAGAGGAAGATAGTCATTTTTATATAAATATAATAATTTCTGTTTTTTTTCTTTTTATGTAGTTCAGCTGGAGTGTGGACTGAGCAAGAAGCACTCTCTATCTACAAAGGGAAAATGGAGAGACTCCGTATGCTGTACATGGGACAACTCTCCCGTCTCGGCTACCTCTTACAAGAGAGAAGACGAAGATTCTTACAAGAATGGCAGGCAGTTGGAGGAGCCAGAGAGAAAGGCAAGGATGAAGAAGGAAAGAAAAGTTACATGTATTATAATTATAATCTTTTCTCTCTCTCCCTCTCTCTCTCTTTCATTACAGCTTCATTACCATCAGAAGGTGGCAATAAATATGACATTGCTTATCGCTGCTACAGAAAGAGGACACTGGAACAAGGTCTCCTTGAAAGAAAGCAAAAGCTAAAGAGAGTATCAGCAACGCTTGATCTGTACACTAAGAAAGAACTTAAGGACACAAACAGATCTCACTACCAGCACTTAGTTAAACTCCAGCAACAACTGAAGGCAAATAACTCAACACCTTGTACCACTACTGGTTGTAACCAGTTGAGTCTACCGTTTGCAGCAAAGTGTTCTAAACGTAAGAGAGAGAGAGGGGGGGGAAAGGAGGGGGGCCGGGGGGATGGGGAAATAGAATATTCTAATTTTATTTTTAAGGACATGTATGTATCAAAATAAAGTGCAAAAATGATGAATTCTTTTCTAGCCATTGTATTAAAATACATGTATCCTATACATACATGTACATGTACATATTCTGTTCATGGCCTTTGGCCTGATTTTGGAGCCACTTTAAAAAATTGTAAAAAATCAAATTTTTTGATTGGAACTGGCTCTAACTCTTTTCACAACATAAGAACATGTATATGTATCAGAAAGAATTATAAAAATGGCAAATTCTCACCTTTTCAATTTTGGCGAAATTTGGCCTGGGACCATGTACTATAGTACAGGGACTTTTACACGATTTTGGAGCAACTTTAAAAATTCGTAAAAAATCCAATTTTGATCAGAATTAACTCAAACTTTCTACATAACATAAGAGCATGTATGTGTATCAGACAAAATTATAAAAATGGCAAATTCTCTCCTTTTTAATTTTGGTGAAATTCGGCCCGAGACCCTGTACTATAGTACAGGGACTTTTACCCAATTTTGGAGCAACTTTAAAAATTCATTAAAAATCCAATTTTAATTGGAACCAGCTCAAACTTCCTACACAACATAGGAACATATTTATGCATCAGAATAAATTATAAAAATTGAGAATTCTCTTTTAGCCATTTTCGACAAAATACCATGTACTATTATTAGAGTAAAGGGTATTTAATGAAAAATGGTTAGAAGAGGAATCCTCCTCCTTTTTCTGTGTATGCATACCTGTACATGTTTTGATATTAAAAGTATTGATGGAATAATGGCCTCATGTTATTTTTATTACAGATATAGTAGAGGATTCTAAGCAGCAGTTGTATACTTCATGTAGCTACACTGGCCCAAATGGAACGACATGCAATAATCCTGTACCAAAGTACCTGGAGCCATTGCTCTGTGGAGGACACTGGGACCAAGGGGAAGTGGTTATACCGTCGGACACTGAGAGTGATAGTGATCATGATGATGATGATAATGATGAAAGAAAAGATGATGATGATGATGATGTTAAAGTTAAAAATGAAAATTAATTTTAAACAAGCGTAACAGGGTAAAAAAATATTCCTATAATTGATTTCACCACCTTGCAAGTACAACTTGGTCACTATTAAGAGTTATAGAGGTTCTCTTTACCTTCTAATGCTTCTAGAGAAGTCTTTAGACAGTATCTCTATGCTCTCTTGCTGTTAGAAAGCTCTTAACTTTTTCCCTTGTGTAAGCCGCCATTTTGTTTGCCGTGACCACACCTACTCACGTAAAGGAGCGTGGGCGGGTGTTGCTAAGGCTTGTTATTTCTCCAATACAACATGTATAGAAGAAATGTAAGTGTGGACATACAAATATATATTATACAAACATCGCACGTGGGTGAATTCAATTATAGCATAGATAATAGAGTAAATGAATTTCATTTACTCTAATATCTATGATTATAGGAACGACCTGGGGGCTACGCCCCCAGGTCGTTAAAAATTAATTAAAATAACACCACTCACGTTTCACGTGGCTCCACGTGGTTGCAATGTTTAGTATTCAGTGCACTTCCGTATAACTGGACTAGGGGACCTACGCCCCCTTCTGGGAGATCCCTAGTGATGGGCGATATGGCCAATTTTCTTAATTTTCGATAACGATCAATAATGGACTTTTTGAGGAAATATCGATTATTAACGATACGATAACCACACCTTCATTTAGGGGTGTGCCAAGGGTGTGGCTAATAATTTTGGCACTGTACTGGACATGAGAGAAGATCATTTCCATGCTCTTGAGCCTTGTTTCTCTTCTTATTGAAGTAGGCTGAGTTAACAACTGGCCCGTTGCCTTTTTCTTGCAGTTCAACAGTGCAATTACTTATTAAAATTAGTTATTTAACCTTAATAAATAGGCGTGGTCAATAGATCGATGAAAATTGCATAAAATTTTCGATAATGATTCAAACCGATTCCGTAAAATATCGTTTATATCGATAAAGAATCGATATATCGCCCATCACTAGAGATCCCCACTATTTTTAAGCAGGAATTTATTTTGAATGGAAATTAAAGATGTGAAACTTTATAATGGCTAATGGTTCGGCTTTGGTGAGTAAATTCTCTCTTATTTATTGTAATAATGGCTCAGGCCCTCTGTTTAAGTTCTTTGCATGTATTCGACTTGAATCAATTGTTTTTCTTGTTTTAATAGGATTCAGAACTTTGGTTTGCCTGTTTAGATGGTGATGTGGAGAAAGCCAATCGACTAATAAAAGATGGTGCTAATATTGAATGGAAAGGACAGGTAAGATAGCTTAGATATTATATATTTTATGAGTTTTTTAAGCTGCTATACATATGCATGTACACATACAGTACTGTATGTGCTTTAAAGCTGCCATAGGAAACATTACCCTATGGTAGTCTTACGTACCTAAATGTCAAAAGAGGGATGGGTCTGGCTATGCAAGGCTAACCCTTGGGCTCCTAGAAGCTCTTTAGAAAAATAGTGTGCTGTGCTTTCACTTTCAGGGTAGTCCAAAATGTAAATTATATTTTTAAAGGGATAAGGGGTGTGTCAAATAGATGTGTAGCTTGGAGGCATATTATTTCATTTGCTGTTATATGAATATGATATGCTTTATATATAATTCCTTGGGCCTCTATTTCCTATCTTTAATTGGTACACTCACTACACTGGCTTCTATTGAATGGACCTCCTATACTTTATATACAGGATTATATTTCCTTAATGTACGTAGCCCCCAGTCTTATAATTGAAACAGACATTTATTCCCACACAGATTCCTGCTTTACATAGCAATTGCATGTACTTTTTTCTATTGTTTTTATTTCAGGGTGGTCATTCTCCATTGTCTATTGCTGTCTATAATAACAGCACGGAGGTTGTCAGATTACTGTTGAGTTCTGGTGCTAATGTTAATGCTGTTGATGAAGTAATTGAAATTATGCATGTAATATACATGCTAGATTGCTGCCATATTAAAGCATGAGACTTTGAAGTTTAGTTTAATATCGTAAAATCTAGCCCAGTCAAAATATAATTTTTTGTAACTTTTATATTTCTGTGTCTGCTTTATTGTAGCATCAGTTTTGAATTGTTTCTAGCATTATGCTATGCTATTCTTTTATTTTTATATGTAGTATAACAGGTCAGCTTTATTTTGGAGTGCTACTTATGGAAGAATGATAATGACAAAAATTCTTCTTGATTATGAAGCTGATATGAATCTACTAACAAAAGTAGGTTCTCGTTTTTAATTATTTCTCTTTTATTAGTCAAATCTTGTCTATTATTTTATTTCATGTTCCTTTATCCTTGTATACTTTACTCTCCATGTTTTTTATTAGAAAACTAAATCTACTGTACTAATGGGTGCTGCTAATACAGGAAGGCTTGATATTGTGAAGTTACTTGTTAGTAGAGGAGCTAGTTGGAAGGTTGTTAATGAGGTACTAATGAGATAAAAAGAAATTTATTATAATACGCTTTCCTCTTTTAAATAATGATATGCATGTTCATATTGCTTTTTTTTGAATATATAGGACGGACTGACAGCTTTAGATGTTGCAAAGAAAGAGAATCATGAACATCTAATTCAGTATCTTTCAAGTTTAGGTAAACATGAATTATTAATTTTCAAAAAAATTCAATGCATACAGCTGGAAATTTTGGTCGACATTATATTTTTAATTAGCATTTGGCAGTTTTACATTAGCCATGCACATGTATTTTAGAGCATGTGAACATGTTTGTTATGTTGTGTACAAATTTTGAGCTCCTTCTGATCGACATTGGATTTAAAAAAAATTTTTTAAGTTGCTTAAAAATCGGAATACCACCAACTTCCCATTTTTAATTCCTTGCCAATTTTGACACGATTTCCAGCTCATGTACATTATGATAATAAAGCAGATGTCCTTGTGTCTTAGTTTATTTAAACCGATTCTTTTTCAACAGATGATTCAGAGTCCCAGATGAGGAAGGCTCTTACGACAGACATTAAGATCAAGTTAAAGATCACGCGTATGTCAATTCATGGAGCAGCAGGCAGTGGAAAGACGTGTCTCCAGCATCTCATACTAAACGAGCCTCCTCCTCTCCAAAGATCAAGCACTGGTGTAGTGACACCAGCTGTAAGAGGATCCGCCTGTGGATATATGGAGACTGACAGCTCTCACTCAATGAAGAGAGTCAGCGAGGAAGAATTCATCACCCACTTAGCTAAGAGGCTGAAAGGAAAGGAAGGTGCATCAAGTTCCAAGCAACGTTCATCAACATATCCCCCCTCTACCCCTCCTCCTCCTCCTACTCCTTCTCGTCTATTTCCTTTATCAAGAGCCTTTAGGTCTTTGTTTAGTCGTACCTCATCGGAAAGTCCTGATGCTTCTTCTCCTCTGCCTGATTCACCTCTACCCACTCATTCGGTTCATTATGATATCATATCACAAGTATCAACAGAATCCTGCTCTGAAGAAGATTATCGAGCTCACTGGACATACTGTATCGATTCTGGTGGTCAGGCTGCTTTTCAAGATATAGCTCCACCTTTCTTGCGTCTGAACTCACTCAATATAATCACTTTAAGGTCAGTTGGACTAGTATTAATCCTTTAATATTTTTATTCAATGCCAAAATTAATACCACACATTTATTAGTGACACGCATGTCAATAGTATAATCACTAGTATAATTATGACTGATATGTGTATGTAACATTGAGTTAAATGTATTGCTCTCGCATGTTGCTACAAAGTTTTATGTACATGTACATGCTGAAAAATGTCCTGAATGGTCTACTGTTGCATGCATCAAACAGTACTGTACAAGTATGTTTTTATTTGCTCCATTGTCACAAAGTTAAAAACCAATCAGTGCCACACTGCCATTGTCACAAAACCTGTGACAAGCAAAAACCCATTAGTTCCATTGTCACAAAATCCGTGACAAGCAAAAACCCATTAGTTCCATTGTCACGAAATCCGTGACAAGCAAAAACCCATTAGTTCCATTGTCACGAAATCTGTGACAAGCAAAAACCCATTAGTTCCATTGTCACGAAATCCGTGACAAGCAAAAACCCATTAGTTCCATTGTCACGAAATCCGTGACAAGCAAAAACCCATTAGTTCCATTGTCACGAAATCCGTGACAAGCAAAACCCATTAGTTCCATTGTCACGAAATCCGTGACAAGCAAAAACCCATTAGTTCCGTGACAAGCAAAACCCATT